TCTCTTCTCTTTTTTATTATGAATAAGAATAAAGAATAAATTATTTTAAATAAATAGTAAGTATTATAGGAATTTAATATTGAATTTTAAAAATATGAATGAAATTTAATGTTACTTTTTTTTTTTACAAATAAATATATGATATTACAAATAATTAACTTATTTCTTATATTACTTCTATATCTTATGTAAAAAAAATATGTAAATATATATTTATAGTATGTATTTCATTAGATTAATAGTCTTTAAAAAATTAAAAAATAAAAAATTATTATTTCATATTATATAACATTAATTCTGAACATTTTTTCCTATAAGTATCAAATTTTGATCAAAATTTCAAATATTAACTTATCTATTTCTTTTTCTATAATTTCACTTATGATTTTTGCATTTAAAACATATGTAAGTTTATTAAAAAACAAGAAAAACTAATCTTAACAATTTATCCAAAATTTTTATTAGAAAAAATTGGATATTAAAGATCTTTTTTTCATATTTTATGTATGTTTAAAAAAAAATATATGTTTGCATGTATAGTAAATAAATTTTTATTTCAATCTCTTAAATTTTAATATATAATATATAAAATATCCATGTATTTCTATTACATTAAATATTAATATATATTTATAAAATAATCAATATACATAAACTTAAAAACTTTCAATAATAAAAAAATTCATCGAATTAATGTTCAAGTACATAAAATAAATACACGAATTCAATTAAAACATGAATTTGTGAATATGTAAATATGTGATTTGATTATGAATTACATATTAATTATATGTATGTTTATTTAGTCAGTAATTCTCGTAAGATTCAAACTTCGATTTATAAATATTTTGGATTTTTTCAACTGCAATATAATTAATTTCAATATCTTCCAAATATACATGTATTAAAAATATAAATTTTTTAATCTTTCAATATATATTTAAAACCACGAATTTTATTACTATGAATATAAACGGATTCTTTCGATATCCGTTTTTTTTGATGATTCTACAAAAAATGCCTGAATATCTGCTATATCCCAATAATAAAACTTCTTTAGTTTAAAACGTAAAGCTGAGAAAAATGTAATTTTTAATATTCTTACATAATCTTTTCTTCTTGAAGTTCTTGGTATAATACTGAATATTCATTTAAAATGTTTGAAAATTTTTTGAATAGATATTTTCATTAATGTTCTAAATTATAATATCTTATTATTATATTATTGTTGCTATTTTACACTTGATATAGCTCTTACATCGAAAACTCTGTTTGTTTTCATATTTCTTATCGGTTTATCTATAAAGAAAAAAAATTTATATAAGTTCATTATTTGATTATATTATAAGCAATAATTTTTTATATAAATATTAAATTTTTATTTTATATTATATTGCATAAACTCATACATTATTCAAAGAAAACATTGTTAAACGATAACATTATTATATAATCTGTCTGTCACTTTTTACTACATAAAAATTAAGATGATTATGTGTATCTATTAAAAATATGTGTAAAACAACATGAATTCATAATTAGTAGCACTTTTTTTAGATAAGATAATAAGAGAATTACCTTATATATTTTGAATAATTTCTTGAATAAATCTTTTAAATGATTTTTTAGGTATTAATAATTTCGTCTTCTTTTGATAATGATATATTTCTCGAATGGCATTATTTTTCGAGCGAAATTTATTCTTTATATTTCTATTATTACACTGATTTATGCGCGTCATTTTACGTTGCAAAAATGAATAAACTTCTCATCTGCTATGCTTTGAATGCTGCAATGGGAGCACTCATATATATGTCCTCGGTTCAATACGTTGTGTCTTTTGATTGGTTAATGTTGAAGCGGTGGGGATATAGCCTTTCGAACATATAAAAGGCCTGAAAACTAAATTTGTACATCAAACGAATTCAGAACTTCGTAGTTTGTTCTTATTCTGTATTTGTGAGATTTCAAGATGACTGGTCGTGGAAAGGGAGGAAAAGGATTGGGAAAGGGAGGAGCAAAGCGTCATAGAAAAGTACTTCGTGATAACATCCAAGGTATCACAAAACCAGCAATTCGTCGATTAGCTCGTCGTGGCGGTGTTAAACGTATATCTGGTTTAATTTATGAAGAAACTCGCGGTGTTTTGAAAGTTTTCTTAGAAAATGTTATCCGCGATGCAGTTACTTACACTGAACACGCCAAACGGAAAACTGTAACAGCTATGGATGTCGTATATGCTCTGAAAAGACAAGGACGTACTCTTTATGGTTTTGGAGGTTAAAATGGAAGATCATTGTTTTTATCAACGATCAGCAAAAACGGCCCTTCTCAGGGCCACAATTTTCTTTCAACTTGAGAACACTCGCTTGTTCAATCCAATTTAAAATATTTTCTATCTATATTATATTCTAAATGTGTATATTCCAAGTTGTTATATTTTTTTTGTAAGATATAACAGTGGAACATAAATTTGAATTAATGATCAAGTACAATAAATTAAATATATAATTATTGAAACTATCCATATCTTGAAATAGTAAAAAAAATTAACATTGTTTTCGTTATGAATTTTTTCACATTATAAATAATAAATAAATATATACAAAACAATATAATATTAAATTATACAATACAATATTAAATATTAAATATAACTTTTTTTATAGTAAAAATAAAATTCTTTTATTTTATATAAATGTTTTTGCTCTAAAAAAATGTAAAAATTTTTACATTTTTTTTTTTCATTTAATAGAAACTGTTGATTCTTATACAATATAATATTAATGAAATATAATTTTAATCAGAATTATATAATGTACTTGCATATCTAAATTTAATTTCTTTCTTTTATATATATGTATATAGAGAAATAAATGGAATTGAAATATTTTTTTTTTTATAAATAAAAAACATTTTGAGAATTATTTTATAAAATGACAAATATTTTAATATGATATTTACTGCAAACGTGACTAATAATTCAAAATATATTAATTTAGAGGAAACGATTTTGAATATTTTGAATCATTACAAGAACATATAAGAAATATTAGAAATTCACGATTTGGAAGATTCTATTAGTAAGAGAATTAAATATTTTCTATATCAGTTCAATTCAATAAGTACAATTTTGAATTGTACAATTTTTTTCAATAAATGAGATATATATATTGAGGTCTTAATATAGATATATAAATTTCATTTATATTAAATTTTTATCAAAAATAATTAAAAATATATGTAAAATATGTATTAAAATGCTTATGAACTATGAGATCATTGTTCCTTTAGCTGAATTTAATTGGGGGCCCTGAAAAGGGCCGTTTAGGTTTAAAAAATCAGGTTAAGCTTTTTTTTCTGTCTTCTTTGGTAAAAGTACAGCTTGAATATTTGGGAGTACACCACCTTGTGCTATTGTTACTCCAGAAAGTAATTTGTTCAATTCTTCGTCATTACGAATAGCTAATTGTAAATGACGTGGTATAATTCTTGTTTTCTTATTGTCGCGAGCAGCATTACCAGCCAATTCCAAAACTTCAGCAGCTAAGTACTCCATTACAGCTGCCAAATAAACCGGAGCACCGGCACCAACCCGTTCAGCATAATTTCCTTTTCGCAAAAGACGGTGAATACGACCAACAGGAAATTGTAATCCTGCTCTGTTAGAACGAGACTTAACTTTCCCCTTAACTTTACCGCCTTTTCCACGTCCAGACATATTGTTCAATCACAAAGTTTCGCTTGGTATTAATTTTTGGAATGCCTTTACTCCGAATATATGTATTCGTAGATGGCAGCAGGAGAGCACTAATCAGAATACAGTATAGCGTGTTCTGTATTACACAGCGTTCCAATTGGTTCATACATCTTATAAATGGAAAAGCTGAGTTCTAACGGAATTAACCTATACGTTTACAATAATATATATGAAAAAACAAATTAAATATTTATCATATTATATATTAATAATAATAAATATTAATAATAAATATTAAATATTAATCATATTAAATATTAAATCATTCATAGACAATAAATTAAGTATATTATCTATTAAATCATTAATTATATTATTCATAAATGTAAATTAAACATAAAAATAAAACAGAAATTATATAAAATAAATATTAAGTTTATAATGTATATATATATATATTCACTACTATATTCATTTATAAGCTACATAAAAAAAATAACTGTTATAACTTTTCAATGAAACTTTTCAAATTATCAAAATTAATAATTAAATATACAATAATCAAAATTGTTTAAAATATTTATAATAATTAAATTTTTGAGATTTTTTTAAATAAAAGAAAATTATTGACGTAAACATATTTAATAGACCATACAAAACAAACATTTTTTTAGGATTATAAAATTCATTGTAAAATTAAAAACTGATAAAATCGAAGTATTCGCAATTATCCGAAGCAATTAGATAAATCAAATTAAATATTTATTAAGATTATAAAACTAAAATACAATACAATAAATTAAATTAGAAATATATATGTAACTTATTAGAGATATAGAATAGTTAGTAATCTATATTTTGCTATAGTTTGTTTTTTTATGTTCGTTTATGCTAGACGAAAGCAGATTTTAAATATTTTCGAATATAGAAAAAAGCAATAAAGAACATTTTTTTATTTTTACACACACAATTATGAACAATAATTGATAATTATAATATGAAATTAATAATCATACTTGCTTTAATTTTAAAAATATTAAGATAAAGTTGCAAGAATAAAATCTCTATTAAGATTTTTTGTTTTAAACAAAATTCAAAAATTTTAATACTACTATATTATTATATTATATAAAAATTTAAAATATATAGGGGATCCATCTTTTTTTTTTCTAATATTTCGTCTTATAAAATAATTTAAAATTATAAAGTGATATAAAATATTAGTTTTATAATTTAATTATTTAATTAAAAACAAAATAAAAACAATATTTTTGATTTATTGATTTTTAAAATAAGAGTTTATATAATATTTCATTTGAATAATGCTTTGATTATAAAAAAAATAATTTATAAATTCTTTAAATTTGTAAATTCTAACATGAATTGATTTGAACATCTGAATATCTAAGTATTTAATACTATTATTTAATTATATTATATTATGTATTTGTTAATGTATAAAGCAAATAATTGGTTAATGCGTTTCTTTGAAAAATAATTTTGCGCTTACTCTAAATATATATTTCCAGATGGCAGCAGGAGAGCACTAATCAGAATGCAGAAGTATGTGCTTATACCGTGCTGCATTCTGATTGGTGCACTATAGGTGCTCTGATACCTAATAAAAGCGGTGCCTAGAGGCTGCACCATCATTCTCATCATCGTTTCGAACGAGTAAGAACTGTGAGTAGAGACACGATTATCGAAAATGCCACCAAAGACTAGTGGAAAAGCAGTTAAAAAAGCTGGTAAAGCTCAAAAAAATATCAGTAAAGCTGATAAAAAAAAGAAACGCAGAAGGAAGGAAAGTTACGCTATTTACATTTATAAAGTTCTTAAACAAGTACATCCAGATACTGGTATTTCTAGTAAAGCTATGAGCATCATGAATAGTTTTGTGAATGATGTATTTGAACGCATTGCGGCTGAAGCATCTCGCTTGGCACATTATAATAAAAGATCAACGATTACTTCTCGAGAAATTCAAACTGCTGTACGTTTGCTTCTTCCTGGTGAGTTAGCCAAGCATGCTGTCAGTGAAGGAACTAAAGCCGTTACCAAATATACTAGCTCTAAATAAGCAAATGACCACACAAACCTGCCCTTTTTAGGGCGACAAAAATTTAATACATAGGAATCTCTCGTTCTCTACATTTTTGTTCTTTAAATAAATAATTATTCTAATTAATATATTTACAATTCTACCTTATAAGTTACTATATTCATAAAAAAATCTCAAACATCATGTCTTTAAATAAAAAAGAAAAAAATAAATGTTTATATAATATACTCTTACAGTATAGATAATAAAATATAAGTTCTTCATGTATATAGATATGAAATTTATACTATATATATATTAGATTATAAGTATTAGATTTAATATAATTTATTATAAATATAATTATAACTATATTATACTATATATATATATATTTTATATATAATATATAACTATACTAATCGTGTACAAATTAGTATAATATATAACTAACGACATGTAATTATAGCACTCATATTTTTAAGATTGAATATTTTTGATATAAATTATTTTTATTCAAAAATTAATTGAATAAACTAAAAGTACATGATAAATATATTTCAGTAAAATCTTAAAAATTTCAAGTAAATACAAATTGTAATGGGAAATATTTTTTATTGTTGCATAATTATATAAGCAATATATAATAATAAACGAATATAAAAATATAATTAAAATATAAAAAGATTTTAATAATTAATTTTTAATTAATTATAATTAATTTATTATTTTATAATTTGTGAATTAGTTTTTAGAATATTGCATATATTTCGTTACACGTTAAAATTATTGTATTTTTTAATTGCGAAATATTTTCAAATTAATATTTTTCAATCTATCTAATAGTTTTTAAATTCCCAGATTAAAATCTCCATTAAAATCTGATAAAAGAAACAAGTCATTTAATAAGATAAATTTGATTAGTTTAAAAGCATATTCTATTAATATTATCTTATTAATACTATCATTATTATCAATTATTATCATTTTCTCAAAGAAAAAATTGGCAATAAATTGGTTTTTAATAATAAGTTAGTTGTTATGTACTCTATACTGTCTTTTTCAAAGGAATAATAATTTTAAAATTTTATGACTACAGAAAGATATCAGATTTTCGTCAAAATTTTTTTGGAAAAATATTATATAAAGATTTTATTAATATGAATTATAACTATCAAATCCATCCAGATTAAATATTCTTTTCGTCCGAAAAATCAGCTGAAAGATGCTAAGAAAGGAAATTTAAGTTATATCAAATTTAAATTATATCAAATAAAAAAAAAAAGTTTAAATATTTAATAAAATTATATTCTTAGAGCAGCATGATAAATGAATTATGATTTCAAAAAGTCCAAAACTTTTAAAAATGTGAGTGTTACTATAGTTATGCATTGCATTATAATAATTATGTTAATTTGAGATTACATTTGGCTAGTTATCAATCAAAATATAATATTAATATAAGTCATTATATAATGTAAAAATAATATAAATTAAGCATTATGAGACTAATAAGACAATACATTTCAAAATAATTTAAAATGACTATAAAAATTCATGTATGTATAGGATTCTCTATATTTTTTATGATTCATATAGAATAAAAATGATGATTTAATCATTAATAACATTTCATTTACAAAAAACAATACAAATATTAAATATTTTTTTAACAACTTACAGTAAACGAGAAAAAGAGAAATTGTAATAAAATCTTATATTATAAATATAATAAAATCTTTATTGTAATACATATAATTTATAAAATAAGTTTATTTCATTATTTCATTATATCTGATTTTATTTAAGATTTTAAGTTTACATGATTATATTTTTATTTCGATAATAGAAACATAATTATACCTATTGATTAATTTTACATCCTATATTATAATAATATTACAATGTAGAAAAATCTGAAATGTTTTTTTCTTTTTGAACATAAAATAAATACTTGATATGATATATTTAGAAGACATAAGATTAGTAATAATAAAAATAAAAATATTCTTCAAACTTGTTTAAAAAATACAAGTAAAATGATAATTTACAAAATTATATATATACGATATAATACTATTTTAAAATTTAAAAAATGCAAAATGATCAATGAATTACAGTAAAATAAAATTTAAATTTTTTTTGTAATTAAAATTAATAATTTATAATATATTATATATATTAAGAAAAAATTTTAACTAAAATAATTCTTAAATATTTATATTATTCTTAAATAAATATTTTTTCATATTTTATATCACGTAATAATAATATATAATGTTTGTAAATAAATTTGTTGCAAATTCATTTGCATATTAATTTTAAGTAAAAATAAACTACTATGCATAATTTCTTAGAATTATTAAAAAACTAAAATTGATGTTTAATAGATTTAACAATCTAAAAACTTATTTAGATAAACAATCTAAATAAAAATTTGAATTCTGGACATATATACACATAGAACTATTATATTAAAAATAGATAGATAGATAGAACCATTATCTAAATCTATTTTTTCAAAAGTATAAATTTTAATTTTTAATAATTACAAATTATAAATTATAATTTATTAAAATGGTAATTATAAAAAATTACATATGATTACATATAGCGACTTAATACATATTTTAATGAAAGATTGTAGTTAACGAAAAGTTTTTACAATTTTTAAAATTTTTAAAATTTAAAAAGTTTCTATATGATACTGTTTTAAATTACATAAATGCTTTTATTACTTATTATTTTTATTTAAGATCTATAGATTCTATTGATTATATTAAAAATTATTTATGAAAAATTCATTTTTGTTATATATATTTATAACACTTTTATGATATTTAAAAATTTATTTGTGTAAGTATCATTTTCGTATATATATTATATATATATTATAATTTCGTTTTAAATTTTAATGTCAAAAAATTATTTATTATTATTATTATTATTATTATTATTATTTATTATAATATTAAATACGAATAGTTTTCTCAAAATGTAATCTATGAGAAAACTTCACGAAATACTTCGCTTTTTTTTTAATAGAATAATATTAATCTCAGGTAATTTAATTAAATTAGATTCTTTATTATTATGTACAAAAATAAATAATGTATAAAATTGTTTAAATTACCTTAAAGTCATTCCTCATTAAATATAAATTTGTGGCCCTGAAAAGGGCCAATTGAATTTTAAAATTCTTGTTTAATAATTATTTCTTTGCTGTTGATTTAATTGCTTTGTTAGCTATCGATTTTTTGGGTTTAGGAGTTTTCGTTTTAGCTGCTGGTGCTTTAGTCGTCTTTTTGCTCTTTGACATAGTTTTAGATTCGTTTATAGATTTAACTTTTTCAATTTTTTGAGCTGTTTTTACTTTAGATTTTTTCACATTTGTTGATTTTTTAGTACTTCCAGCTTTTTTTGGAGAGCTTAGTTTTTTTGATGATACTGGTTTTCGTAACGACGATGTTTTCTTTTCAACAGATTTTTTAACTTTTTTAGGTTTTGATACTTTAATAGTTTGATGAATCTTTTTTGAGTCAGAACCTTTAATGGAACTCTTAGTAGAAAGTTTAAACGACCCAGAAGCACCTTTACCTTTTGTTTGAACAACAGTACCTGAAGTAACAGCTGCCTTTAAGTATCTTTTAATAAAAGGTGAAAATTTCTCTCCATCAACTTTATATGTCAAAGAAATGTATTTTTTAATTGCTTGAAAAGACGATCCTTTTCGATCTTTCAATTCCTTAATAGCAGCATTTACCATTTCAGAAGTCCGTGGATGTGAAGCTGGTGACCGTTGTGATTTTGCAGATTTGGGCTTTGCTGCTTTCTTTGTTGGATTGACGTTTTCCATATTTTCTATTATAGTTTTAGCTTTTTCCTCCATTTTGGAATTGTTAGAAATAATTTTTTTCTGAAATATTTAAATACTAACAATAAATAATTTCTATCTTTTAAATAAAATAGAATTTGAATTTCATAATATAAATAAAAAAAAATTCATTAATTAAAAATTTATTAATTTTAGTTAATTTCAAGTGTGGATGCAAATGATATTACTACAAAATTTAAAAATCATAGAATAAGTTGAATCAATAGACATTAAATAGGTCGATCGATTTCGTTTGATATCCGATTTCGATATATAATATATAATATATAATATATATTATAAATATATAATATAAATTAATAAAAAATATAAATATAATATAATATAAATTTCATCAATTTCAATAACAATAATAAGATAATATAATTGTATATCCAATTGTATATCCAATCGGTTAATGATTATGTAGAGGAAATCTTTAAAATATCAGTATTTTGATCCTATTAACAATAAGAATAGAATTTCCGTTATCGTGCCTTACTATAGAATAGTATTGTATCTTCAATAAAAATAAAGATAACAGAGTGGAATTTGATCTTTTTAAGTAATTCTGTGAGATGAATTATATAATAATTTTTTGATTAATAATAATTAAACACAATAATTAATGAAATATTATAGAAACGATATTAAGTATTTAAAATTTCTAATGAGTTCCCCAAAGTAGAAAATAATCCTGAATCGAGGACATAAATTACCTGTTTATTTACTGTAGATGATGAAGGAAAGGATGACAACAGTGAAATATCTTACAATAGATATCTATTACACAAAAATCATACTTATGATTAAAAATATTTCTGCAAATAATTTTTAGTTCGCCAGTGTGAGAAGATAATTTAGTATTACATATACTAATTATAGTATAACATTAATATCACTTAGCTATTGTAAACTGGCAAAGAATATATGTTATAATTTTCTAAAATCGGTCACTTATCACTGGAATATACTGATAACTAACAATGATGCCCTTACTTTAATCGTCAATTGATACGTACTAATAGCTAATGTGCCAACCCCTAATGAACAGTCCATGTGATCTGGGAGCGCGGACCATGGAGAGAAACCTACTGAATATGTTGAGCGCTGAATTTCTCTAAAAACGGTGAAGCAGTGAACAATTTATTAAATTAAAGCATGATTATTCAAAACAATGTATTAATCGAGAAATGAAAAGTATATAAATAAATAGTTATATGTATCTAATTTTACTCAATAGCTTTTACTTTTCATTAAATAATATTCGTTTTCATATATAACATGATTTTTCAATGAGAGTCTCTTCATGACATCAAAATAGTTTGTAAAAAAACAATAATATTCGTTCAATTATTACAAAATTGGCTAACAAATTGATTAACAATCATTGTTAATAATTTTAGTAGAACTGACGAAACTAATTTTTTATGGAAATTTAATTAATAATTGTAAAATCCTTAGTTTATAATAGGCACTATCGGAATACATAGTTCTTTATAGAATAAATGACGAAATCAATCTTAATATTTTATAATTCAATGATTTATGTTATGAAATTTATATAATTTTGTATGAATTATATATTGATGATAAAGAATATTAAGATAAATTAATTGAAATAAATTAAAAAAAAAAAGAAATAAATTAAAAAGAAATCGATTCAGTATATTTGTTCAATATGTTTGTTTCAAATACAATGCAGAAATCATAACCTTATTGTTCAATAAAAAATAAAATATTTAATGTCAATTATATAATATTAAATTTAATTTTAATAACATTAGGATATATTCTAATGAAAAAAAATTATTAATTTAAATTTAATTAAATAATAAAATTAAAAAGAAAAAAGAAATTTTGTTAAAATATATATAAATAATATAATTATAGTATGTATATTTGTTAAAAAATTTGTTAAAAAATTTCTATTTATATCATATAGAATAGCATTAAATATTTATATATTTAGAATTTAAATATAATATTATTAAAAAGCAATTGTTTTCAAAATATAATAATATATAATACATCATAATAATATCATATTTACAATAGTTAAACATCTATTGAATATAAAAAAATAATTATATA